GCACATCTCTTTGACATAGTCCAAACAAACAGATGCATCTCTTAAAAACGAAAAAGAGTCTTGGCGAGCGGCTTCCTAAATATATCTCTAACACTGTTTTTTTTTAAAGTTATATAAAAATGATGGCAACTAATACACATTACTTCCGAATCGCTCATGCCTATAAAATATAAGTATTTTTCGCTATCAATGCCGGGTAGCTCAGCACAGTCGGCGTATTTTTTTACAATTCCTCAACGATCATAGTCGTACTTCAGATACCCAAACGTTTACTTACCACGATTAATTCAGATAAACAAACGCGGCGGAGGTCTTTTCGTATAGCATGTCTTTACAATGGATTCTATTATTACTTACATTATAATATTAATTTCAGATCTGCATCTGTCTAATATCCATAGCAAATGCGCAGGAATCTTCGAATGCGTCAGTAGTCGGCAGTGGTCAAGCAGTAGCAGCCACAGGCCGTGGCTCGGCTTCTATTGTGAATAATGGCCGTCTTCCTTCACCCGCTCCTATACCTTCACCTACTCCTAATTCCCCTACTATCATTCCTTCTCCCTCTCCCTATCCCACGTATCCTAGGAGATATCGCAACAGTCGACCTATTCCGTACAACATTGAAAACTATCCTTATAACAGCGCCTTCGGCTTTTAATATAAATTTTACTTAAATTATTGCTTTGTTTTAATTTACCTTATTTAGTTGTTTTAAATTCATTAACGATAGATTCTTTTTAAACAATACTTTTTTTCTTAATATTGTCATTTACAACATGCTAAATAAGGAGTTTTTCATAATAATAATTTATATGTTGTAATTAATAATAATGTTGTAATTATCTAAAAAGGTTTTATACAAACGAACAATCATAAGTTAGAATAATAATTCGCACAAATACATAAATAATTGTTGAACAAAAAATATGTATCTGTAATAAATAATCATTAAAATCTTATATATAATACACATGCAACACTATTGTATGACGTTATTGAATATTCTTTGTCTATAAAATGAAACTATTCAGTCACATTATTTTAGCTAGAGTCAAACATGTCGTTAAACAGATGTTTTTAAAATCGATAATAATATAAATGGTAGCGGTGTTGTTCATTTATTACTTACTTCTGAAATCGGACACGTGAATGTTTAAAGTGAATAACAATGAAATTATTATTGGTAAGTCTTAATTCTTCTATAATTTCTATTTTGCAATGCTCGGTCGAAACGCAAAGCCTCCGAGCTGACCCCGTCAAGAGCAAAATGATATGCGATTGAACAATCTCCCACTCTAACCCACCCTTTTGGATGGATCCATTTATGCCGCTTTCAGTTAGATACTCGGATCGTCGAAACGCTCCTCGTTGTCTAGGGTCACTCCAAGGCATACTATGCCGCTGATCCTGGGTATGTGCGGCGCTGAGACCATTGTAGCGTTTGCATTAGTCTATCTATTTATCTAGTATATCCCTTATCCGGTCGGTTACACAAACGTCCATTAAAACTTAATGACGTCTTTAAACTCTAATAAATGTCTAATTTGTATGGGTAATTTCACTTTAAGCTAATGACAATTATAATGGACATTTGTGCAATAGACTAACACAAACTGTATAATCCCTTAGCACCGCACATACCTAGGATCACTGTTGATCCTCTATCAAAATTTTTTGCGGGCCCAAATGAAGGGTAAAAATTTTTGCCTACACACGTTAGTAGCGCCTGTAGGAGCCCTGCTTAGGATATTTACGGCAAGTGTACTTATATGTGACTGTATTGGTGAGTGTGTATCGACTATAAGAATTAATTTGTAATTTGTATAATTCAATTTGTATGTTTCTTTATACAAATTAATATCTAATTAATTTTATTGTGTCGATAGACTGGAATCTTTGGAATAGTCCAGTATTTTTCCACGAGAGCTAAATCCCTAATATAGAAACATATGTACCATATACTCGTAAAAGCTTGATACTAAACAAAATCTTGGCGTCCGAGTTCTTATAAGTTTCAAAAGGTTCTTTGTTAATTATGGTGCCTGTTACATATTAATTATCTTTCGAATCACCTACGCCAAATAAATGTGGTAATATCTATCTATAAATGTTTTTGGTATAATCAGTAGAATCAACAGTTTCTTTCAAATTCCTCAATGCTTATAATCTTACTTCAGACACCCTTAACTTCATTTATAGCGTTCAGTTCAGACTAACAAACACGTCGGGAGACTTTTGGGTGACATGTCCTTACAAGCCGTTCAAGAGGCTGAAATATTCGTTAATTTTTACCCATTGTACTTATTAATTTTACTAAATTTCCTTTTGTTTCTTACATGACTTCTGGCATTTACTAACTTTTCTTGTTCCTTTCAGATCGGTATCTGTCTAATATCCATTGCGAATGCGCAGGAAACTGCGAACGCATCAGTAGTTGGTAGCGGTCAAGCAGTAGCAGCCTCAGGCAATGGTTCTGCTTCTATTGTGAATAATGGTCCTCCTCCTTCATCCGCTCCTAGTCCTTCACCGGTTCCTAGTCCTTCACCAACACCTAATCCTTCACCCACCCCTAGCAATCCTTCCATCATTCCTTCTCCCTCTCCAAATCCCACGTATCCTAAAAGATACCGCAACAGACGACCCATTCGATATAATCTCGAAAAATACCCCTTCAACAATTGCTTTTAGTACCTATAAATTATATTTAAATTACGTATTTTGTTTTATTTTACTTATCATTCAAACGACAGATTGTTTTAACCCATAAAAAGACAAAATCAGTTATCAAATTCATGCTTAGAATCGCCCGAATTCAAATGTAATTTTAATTTTTTTAATTTCTTTTCGTCTTTTCTAGTTGGTTTTGGTTTTTGAAAAAGAAAATATATAAAGCAAATTGTAACAATATTTTTTAGTTTAGTCATTGTTAGTCCTCATGAAGATGATGAAATACTTATTTAGATACTGTATGAAGTGTATAATTTTTATAATTTTATTTAAAAACAAGGCTAGTGATCTGATCGCGTTTCAAAGCTTAAAATGACAAGCACCACTTTTCGAAAATAAAATATTGAACCATCAAAATCAAACACCCAGTAAAAAGTTATGAGGTAACACACACATAAAAAAATAAATCGTATTCACAACCTAATCTTTTTTAAGTCGGCTGGAGGGGCGGACTAAGGGGTCCTGCCCTGGGCGTCTTGTCCTAGGGGACCTCCAAATGAATTGATCAAATCATAAATGTTCAGGTTTGTAATTTTAGCAGGCGGGCCTGATGCTGCCTCGGGCCCCCGACGGGATTAGTCCGCCACTAGTCGGCTGAAAATATTAGTTCAAAATAAGTTTGACTTTAATACCAAATATGAAAATAAATTATTATTAAAATGTTATTGTATTACAGATAAATGACATTATATAATCTAAGATAAATAGAAAATGTGTATACTTATGTCACCGTTAAATTGTAAACATCGTCAGTCTATTGCATCTCGTTAATTTACTTTCATAGATTTAATGTACATTTCTAATGGAGCTGTCAATTTTCCCATGACATTACATATTGACGAAAACTAAAAAACGTTGCCATCTTTCATTTATTTCATTTTCATTTTACATGTAGAAATTAATTTATTCACTTGACATTTGCAGAATTGTGTGAAATGCTCAGATAAGCCTTAAAAAAAATAATAAGCACTATTAATTTCTTAGTCATTATGTAAGGTCATGGTCATAGCTCGGTGGCATAGTGGATGGGTGGCCCAAAAATTATTATCTCAAGCTACTACTGCGTGCTTCGGAAGGCACGTTAAGCCTTTGGTCCCGGCTGCATTTGCAATCGTTAATACCTCCAATCGGCTTTGGGCCCGCATGAAAGGTCATGGCCCGTCCTCCTTAACCATCCATAAGAAAGTTCTGTGCAGTGGGGACGTAAAAGGGCTGATGATGAAAAAAGTATTCTAAAAATCAAGTTCATTTAAGTTCAAATATTGAAGGTCATTATTAAACTATATGTACATATATGTACATATAGTTTAATAATATATGAAATACATACATACCATATTTTGCGTCACTGCATTTATTACGTAACAGCTGTGTAAACTGTTGACAACATGATGTCATTCGGTTTCCAGATACAATAGAGCATTAATAAGTAGATATCGCGCTGCAACCTTTTGCTGGGCGAGATTATAATATGAGCGACAGATTCGTGAGTTCAATTCCCGTCTAAAGTATTTACGAATTTTAGTGATATAAGTCCCGTAAATTGCTAATACGCTGGAACCTTGTCTAAATAACACCCACGAGACGTCATATGAACATAGAATGTATAGATAGCACTAAAGGCAAAAAATAAATTATTTAATAATTGAAAAAAAATGAAAAATTTATGAATAATCCTCAAAATATTGTAAAAATAATTTAATAAACTTTTAGTTTGTTAATTTATTGTATGTAATTTTGGAAAAGGATCAATTTTTATTTAAAATATTGAAGTATATGGAAAATAAAAAAAAACATTTTCTTTGTAACGCGATATTAGTAATATAAGGAAAGGACATAACCATTTTTTTTTAATATAACCAAAAGTTATAATTATTTTTATGTTTGCTTATTGGACAAATCATAATAGCAGTTGCTATTTTAGTCAACCATAACAAGTAACAACATAACTTGACAATAACAATCCAAACCAATAAGAAGATAACTAAATAATAATGTGTGATCTCAACACAACTCATTATGTGTACTCGTTGACCAGTACATAATTGTTAACGACACTGATTTTTTAATGCAATTACGTCATATAAATAACGGCAAGACGCATTATCAATTTGCGGAGATTGTATTATGAACAACAAAAAACTGCTTCGGATTAGGCTGAAAAGGCTCGATTCCTTTGCTCCTGTAAAAAAATATAAGACGCTAAAAGTAGGGATGTAACTTACGTATTCAAATATAATATATATTGAAATTTTATGTTAGTAAAAAGAATCGATAATTTATTAATAACTTAACTTAACTTAACAGACTTTTTTGTAAGTATCAAACATATATATCATCCTCAGAAACTTTTGCAATTATAATATTAGTAGGTTTGATATAAGCAAATTGTAGCTAAATTATTAGTAAATGTTTATACTTACTTAGTCAATATACCATCTTTTTTAGTAAGTCGAACGATGCAGTCATCGGATTCTCCCATACGTCTGATGGCTCCACAGACAACATAGATCTTGGAGGTGTCTGCAGCTCGTCCTGTTGCTGGGTCGACATCGGCTATAACCAATTGCACAGAGGCATGGTCTTTGGCATGAATAAGACGGTTACTCGCCGAGCTGTAATGAAATAAATAGGGATTTAAGGAGAGAACATAGAATTAGGACATTACAGTGTTAAAGATAATATTTAAAACGGCGACTAAAATTTTCATAACAAACAAACGTTTTTTAATTAATTTGGATAACAAACAGTAAACGAAATATTTAGCAAATCGATAAGCAAGTCTCTGTTAGTATTTTTTAAGATGCTGTATTATGAATTAGCCTCATGACACGCGGATAAACACAAATGAACTACCTTTACGATTATTATGATTTACCTGATTTGTGTCAATACAAATACGAAATATTTAAAAAATAAAAGTATCAGATTCAATGGTGTAATATAATTAAAAATTTAGAAGACGACAATGTGGAAGACTTGTTTATAACCTCAAACTTATTTTACTCACCATTTTCTTGGGCAGTACAAATCAACGAATTCACCGGCGTCGTTCTGCATATTTGCGTTTCTGAAATTTAAAACAGGATATTACACTTAGTTATTAACACGGTATTCACAATAATTCTTTTTAAAATAAACACTAACCTAAAGTGGCACACGAACCGCGGAAACGTCAAAGGCGAAAAAGAAAGATGGCGGATATTAAGGATGCGAAATGGGTTTAAAATTAAACTCAAAATTGAATACTTTTGACTCGTAATTTTGGAAACAGCGTTGCCACCTCTTGGGAAACACTTGTGTCCAATATTGTTTCTTATTATTAGCAAAAGATTGCGCAAAATTTATAAAAGAAATTTTTCATATTATTTATTTTTTATTTAAACTATATGTACATATATGTACATATAGTTTAATAATATATGAAATACATACATACCATATTTTGCGTCACTGCATTTATTACGTAACAGCTGTGTAAACTGTTGACAACATGATGTCATTCGGTTTCCAGATACAATAGAGCATTAATAAGTAGATATCGCGCTGCAACCTTTTGCTGGGCGAGATTATAATATGAGCGACAGATTCGTGAGTTCAATTCCCGTCTAAAGTATTTACGAATTTTAGTGATATAAGTCCCGTAAATTGCTAATACGCTGGAACCTTGTCTAAATAACACCCACGAGACGTCATATGAACATAGAATGTATAGATAGCACTAAAGGCAAAAAATAAATTATTTAATAATTGAAAAAAAATGAAAAATTTATGAATAATCCTCAAAATATTGTAAAAATAATTTAATAAACTTTTAGTTTGTTAATTTATTGTATGTAATTTTGGAAAAGGATCAATTTTTATTTAAAATATTGAAGTATATGGAAAATAAAAAAAAACATTTTCTTTGTAACGCGATATTAGTAATATAAGGAAAGGACATAACCATTTTTTTTTAATATAACCAAAAGTTATAATTATTTTTATGTTTGCTTATTGGACAAATCATAATAGCAGTTGCTATTTTAGTCAACCATAACAAGTAACAACATAACTTGACAATAACAATCCAAACCAATAAGAAGATAACTAAATAATAATGTGTGATCTCAACACAACTCATTATGTGTACTCGTTGACCAGTACATAATTGTTAACGACACTGATTTTTTAATGCAATTACGTCATATAAATAACGGCAAGACGCATTATCAATTTGCGGAGATTGTATTATGAACAACAAAAAACTGCTTCGGATTAGGCTGAAAAGGCTCGATTCCTTTGCTCCTGTAAAAAAATATAAGACGCTAAAAGTAGGGATGTAACTTACGTATTCAAATATAATATATATTGAAATTTTATGTTAGTAAAAAGAATCGATAATTTATTAATAACAATTTTTTTTTTGTATCTTACTAGTTCAAAGAGTAGATACGTCTAAGTACAAAACTAATGGGTTTGGAGTCCATTTCCGCTTAATGAACTAAAATAATGATTAATAGATTGTCCAAAAACGTTTATTCTTTACATTCCACTAAGGATTTATAAAACTAAAGACTTTATAAAAATATTGAATTAGATACAAACATTCTTTGAAAATAGTTTACAGAAGTAAACATGCTTTATTCATAGTGAGGTGACCATTTTGCAGCGGGTGGGTCTTATGACTATTTGTCGCCTCGATTAAATAAAAAATAAATAATATGAAAAATTTCTTTTATAAATTTTGCGCAATCTTTTGCTAATAATAAGAAACAATATTGGACACAAGTGTTTCCCAAGAGGTGGCAACGCTGTTTCCAAAATTACGAGTCAAAAGTATTCAATTTTGAGTTTAATTTTAAACCCATTTCGCATCCTTAATATCCGCCATCTTTCTTTTTCGCCTTTGACGTTTCCGCGGTTCGTGTGCCACTTTAGGTTAGTGTTTATTTTAAAAAGAATTATTGTGAATACCGTGTTAATAACTAAGTGTAATATCCTGTTTTAAATTTCAGAAACGCAAATATGCAGAACGACGCCGGTGAATTCGTTGATTTGTACTGCCCAAGAAAATGGTGAGTAAAATAAGTTTGAGGTTATAAACAAGTCTTCCACATTGTCGTCTTCTAAATTTTTAATTATATTACACCATTGAATCTGATACTTTTATTTTTTAAATATTTCGTATTTGTATTGACACAAATCAGGTAAATCATAATAATCGTAAAGGTAGTTCATTTGTGTTTATCCGCGTGTCATGAGGCTAATTCATAATACAGCATCTTAAAAAATACTAACAGAGACTTGCTTATCGATTTGCTAAATATTTCGTTTACTGTTTGTTATCCAAATTAATTAAAAAACGTTTGTTTGTTATGAAAATTTTAGTCGCCGTTTTAAATATTATCTTTAACACTGTAATGTCCTAATTCTATGTTCTCTCCTTAAATCCCTATTTATTTCATTACAGCTCGGCGAGTAACCGTCTTATTCATGCCAAAGACCATGCCTCTGTGCAATTGGTTATAGCCGATGTCGACCCAGCAACAGGACGAGCTGCAGACACCTCCAAGATCTATGTTGTCTGTGGAGCCATCAGACGTATGGGAGAATCCGATGACTGCATCGTTCGACTTACTAAAAAAGATGGTATATTGACTAAGTAAGTATAAACATTTACTAATAATTTAGCTACAATTTGCTTATATCAAACCTACTAATATTATAATTGCAAAAGTTTCTGAGGATGATATATATGTTTGATACTTACAAAAAAGTCTGAACAGATTTTGGTGTAGGAATAATTCTGCCTGATCCCTTAAACATGTGAGCAAAATCACTGTATTATTTTATATTAAATCAAAGTAGAAATATATAAAATAATTTCAGTAACTTCTATTGGTAACTTTCTGTGGCCTATGATGCCGATTCTGTCATAGAAATCTCAAATAATTAAAAAATAATTGGGCTTGTTTTAACATAATTCCACAGTCACATGTAAAGGAGAATTAGAATTCTACTACTATTTACTATAATATGATAAATTTACTTCTGTTATCACATTTGAATCTCAATTTGACAATAAAAAATTAAATTTATTTTGTGCATCAAAATTTCTACCAATAGAAGTGTTAATACTCATAAAACCTTATCTAGTGGAGGAAGTGATTTGTTATTATGTGTGCTTAGTAAATTGCTGCATCCACACAATAATATATGGTGATTCAGAAATCAAAATGAATATTTACAATTCAACTATTATTTCATATTAATTCATTTTGCAGCAGTTTGGATCATAGTTGAATTGGTTGCAGTGATGCAGTTAATTATAATTATCAAAATCAGATCAATCCATTTTAATATATAAAAAAGGTTGTCATTCTATTGTTAATTGATATCTCTGAGTGCAACAGTTCCCATTTCATCATATAGAATAATAAGAAAGTAACACAATTACAAATTTTGCTTTCATTTGTTTCAGGAACTACTAATGTTTTAGTCTAAGGGGCATTTATTTTTAAGAAAAATCATTAAAAAAATCCTCAAAATTTTACATTGTTTTATTTACCATTTACAAGTAATTTATTATGTTCTTACATCCCTGTACTTAGATGGTTGGTTGGTAAAGTAACAGCACTCTGTAATCTTGAACTTTCACTATTCAATTAGGATGCATAATTGTAAATAAAATTGCCAAACTGCATATCTGTGAGCAACCCCAATTATATTTGGTCAGAGGGAAATCCACTTATCTGAAAAAGGAAAAAACCACAATTAGGAATAAAAATCTGGGTTTTATGCGATTCAAATATGGCAATCAAATCAAATAAATTAGTTTCAACTGGACAGATCGGGCTGAAATTTGGCATGCAGGCAGATGTTATGAGGTAGGCATCCGCTAAGAAAGGATTTATATCAATTCTACCCCCCCAAGGGGATGAAAGATTGAATGAAACTTTGACAATTTTAAACTAATCGGGCTTAGGGCGGCTTGCGCATCGTCGTTAAATACAGTTTAAGAGCGACTTAAACGCATTTAGTCTGCTCTAAATATAATTAGCGTCTTGCACAACAAAAATTAAGACACTAATCACGTTTAACAAACTGTCAAAGTTAAATACCCAAAGATGGCTATTTAGCGTCGCTAAATACGTTTAGTAGCAATCACGCGTCATCATCTTGAGGTTATAGAAATTTTAAATAAGAAAAAAAGTTAGTTAGGTAGTTTGTACGATGGATTTGTGGGAATTGTATTATAGAATGTATCAACAGACCGAGAGAATTGTTTGTGAGAGCACTTATTTGGAATGTATTCGGACGACAAATTCTTCAGAACGTTTCGTCTAACGAAAGAAACCACTATATTTTGTTCCAGCAAATAGCCCCACATTTACAAATCATAACACAATTTGTGTGACTTGACAACTCGGTTGACTAAATGTGACAGTTGAAAACTCGTCGGTCCATTTCACGCATTTTTCTTTAAGAAATGCAACCATTTTGCTTTAAGTCAAGTGTACAACGCACGAAAACGTAGAAAGAATGCAAGAAACTGCTTTACCGACTCCCTAACTACGATTAGGTAAATTACCGTCCAAACGGACGTGAGCAAGACCTTTTTAATTGTATTTGGGCAAAACATATTTAGCAAGATAAACACATTTAACTAAATTCTGTTTAGACCAAATGTTGCGCAAGCCGCCCTTAGACTGCATGCATAAAGCTACAATGAGGCAGGATGCCTACGTCATAGTACTATGACGTAGGCATCCTCTAAGAAAGGATTTTGATAAATTCCACCCATAATTCCAAGGAGATGAAACTTTATTTCAGGTATTTTACACGATATAATTAATAAATATTCGTTAGAAATGCTGCTCAAAGTAAGTTTACCACGCGGACGAAGTCGCGGGCAAAAGCTAGTTTATTAATAAAACCGAAACTTTACAAAGCAAAGCGCTTCAAACTACAAAACGTTAAAATACTATTATGAGATGATAAAACCAAGAATCTAAATAATTATGGATTAAAGTTGAATAAAAATAATCGGCGCGCCGTATCCCTTTCGGGCTTTATTATTCTATATCTTATATAATTTATATATAGTTATAGAAAGTCAAATGTATAACGCCTGCCGAAATCTATCAATGAACACATTTTTTTTCAATCACGTAGCGACACTAGTCAGGTTTACAATTTCTTACTAGATTTAAAATAATTTGAATTACCAGAAATCATATATAATTGTTAAAGATCAATTAACTTTAAACCCGGAATTTCGCGACTTCTGAGACTACAAAAACATTAAATTCGACGTGAAGC